TCAAATTTATTCAATAAGAGAACTGACTAGTTGAAATGACTCCTGCCCGAGTGATGCTTGGGATAGTCAGTACTTAAACACACAAGCGCTCCCTGCCTGACGCTTGGGGGAAACTGAAGTGGTTAATAATTCCATGTGATTGAAGAATACACTGAGTATTGATTACAGACTTTTTCCTCATCTATTAAAAAGTGATGGTTTGAACATTCACCATGGTGATAAGGGTAAAAGGACAGCCTTTTATTTATTTATTTATTTGGTTTTTCTCCAGTACCGGGAACCGAACTCACGACTTTGCGCTTGCCAGGCAGGCGCTTTTGCCGCTGAGCTAAATCCCCAGCCCCGACAGCCTTATAGTAAAGGCTTAAGTCAGAATTTAGCAACTAGTTGGGTTTCATTAACACTGACTATAAGAAAGGGCATGGGCTTATAGTCATTGCAGACAGGAACTAATGATCAGTTTATAATACACCGACCTCATAGTGCACATGTGCTAATAAATAGTATAGAGAATATATATATATTCTAGGAAACATAAATATACGCATATATCTGCTTTATAAAACATTTTCTGAGAGTCTCTCTTTTCTCCTTTATGTAGCATGTACTGATTTAATGTAGTTTAAGTGCTCATTATTGGTATTCCCTGCAGACAGCATAGTTCCTACTGTATGGAAAATGAAGGGATTTAGGGACGCTGCTGCACATTTGAAATCCAGTATCTAAGAAATCTCTAAAGCAAAAGGATCATAATTTCAAGATCAAAACGGATAATTTATCAGGAGTCTATACTGCTAAGCAATCAACATAAAACACATTTTCAGACTCTGAAATTCAAGTAGTCAACAGCATCATATCATTGAGAAGAAGGTAGAAAAATCTCAATACTAACTAGTGGACAAAAGTTGCAAATTTTATCAAACCTCAGAAATACAATGTATGAACTGGTTTTTTTTTTTTATGTTTTTGGTCTTTTTTTTTGAGACAGGGTCTTGCTATGCAGTTCAGGCTGGCCTTGAGCTCACTTTATAGCCCAGGCTGGTCTCGAACTCGCAACAATCCTCCTCCCCCTGCCTCCCAAGTGCTGGGATTACAGGCGTGCACCACCACATCCGGCTGAATTGTTTATTTTAATGTACTTAACATTAAAATACCATACACTAGATAAATTTCAAATATTTATAAAATACAAATCATATGTTTTTCTGAATAGGCAACTCTTAAAAATCATTTTGTTAGGGCACAAGAAATCTTTCAACTACAAAATATAAATATTAAATTGCTTGGAATAAGGAAAATTACCAATTACAGGGGAGGAATGGCTTTAAAAGTCTTATGTATGTTCTTTTCCAAGTGTAAGTAGAAAGAATCAAGTATCACAGCTCCATGAAGGAGGTGCTCTACCACCGGACCACAGTTCAATTCCACTGATGTTACTTAAATAAGCTATTGTTTAAATAGTAAATCACAAAACAAATTTGGAAATATATAGGATTAATTGGCAAATCTGGTACATAATGTAAAAGTTTGAAATAAAAAGTACATTCATTTAAATATAAGAAATATATTCAGCAAAACACTTCATCAAAAATATACAATCAATAATTAATAAGAGGAATCAATATTTTAGAAAAGATGGACATGATAGGGCATAAAATGAGAAAGGTCTAATAAAAATCATAAAGTGAAAAAGAAATAATTATAAAGGTCATGGGTATTTTAAATTACGAGAAAGCATCTCACTAAGTATCCCAGATAGGCCATAAACCTTATCTTACATTTGCTTTCTGACTGCTGTGATTACAGGTGCACAGCACTGCACCTGGCTAAGCAATGTTGTATTAAGAAACCTGAAAATATAACAAAATTATGGTTCAATGAATTTTAGGCAAGAGATAAATTCTTTAAACTATGTAAAATTTCAAAATTGGTATTAGAAGTGGGATGCTGGGACAACCAAGTATTCCCTAGTATAAATTCATCTCCCACTGAGTTGGGGGTGCATGCCTGAACCCAGCACTCAGGAGGCTGAGGCAGGAGGATCATCATGACTTCCAGGCCAGCCTGGGCTACAGTGATTTCAAAGCCACCCTGAACTGAACAGCAAGACCATATCTCAAACTATAAAGAAATAAATACAAAATTTAAAATAAAAAAAAATACATTAATCTCCCAATGGCTTACAAGAGATTCCTTGAAAATTTCAAGATACAGGTCAAGATGTGATATACATATGTGGCTATTTACCACAGTGAATAAATTTGTAGGGTATTAAATTACATGAATTAAGAACATTATAATAAAAATAAGCTATATTCAGATAGGTACGGTCTCACATGTATGTAATAATGATAAGAAAACTATCCAGTACATTTCATCAGATTAATGCAATCTTTACCTAAAATGTTTACCAAAATAAGGAATTATAGACACTTTACACCTAGGCATACAGGCTTTCCATACAAGATTCCATAAAATATTACATAGTAAAATACAAGGGTATAAGAGAATGTATGAGTTAACTGATATCATGAGTGCCTACTCTGGGTGACAGGAATCCTGGGTACCATCCACAGCATGTACCATGCACAAGCACATGCTCACACACGTGTGTGAGGGCACACACACATGCACACACACACCACTGTATCATAATAAAGTGGTGTTTATTTCATAAAAGGAAAGATGCTTCACAAACCAGAAACGTATCATAAAATTCACAGCAAAAATCAACAAAGGAAAATCTCACCTAATTACATATTTGAAACTTGGCATAAATATATTTTCTAAACCTCAATTTCTATTGCTTCTTAAAGGTTTCTAAAGAAGACAAAATTAAAATAACATTAATAACAAGGTAAAGCACATAGGCCATAAAACTAGCAGATGGAATGCTGAATCAAAACTACATATTTTATTTTAAAATCAGAAGTAAGTATATTCCTGTTACCACTATTTAATCCCTGGCAACCAAACTTCACACGTGATGTTACAGGGCAAGAAAACGGAAATAAATGACATAGAGCCTCAAATGAAAGTGGTAAAAATTGCTATCTCTGAAGGAATAATCACGATGTAACATTTTTGAACAATGGCACAGAGACCTAGGCTGCCAAACACAAGATCCTTTAGAAATAATCATAGTGATTCTCATAGAACAATTCAATATAATAAAGCACAGCAATTCCCAATAAGAGCACAAATTAAAAAGAAGTATCTCTCATTTAGCTCTCAAAGTCAGTATACATTCACTATAGAGAAACCTACTGGTCATTAGTTCATTTGTTTAATCACTACTTTGTATCATATAAGAAGTGAAAATTTAAAAAAATTAAATTTTTTTTATCACTAGAATCAAAAAGTTCAAGTGTGGACCTATGACACGGAAATATAAGTAAAAATTTAGGGGGAAAAGTATATTTTAAAAAATATGTTAGAAGACAGACCATCTTTAAAGTTTTTGCAAATACTTCAAATGTACAGTATCCTTTAAAAAGAGTACTAGCTGGGGATTTAGCTCATCGGCACAGCGCCTGCCTGGCAAACGCGAGGTCGTGAGTTCGATTCCCAATACCGGAAAAAAACAAACACAAAAAGAGTACTAGACGTTTATTCCACTCTGCATTCTTGTTTAGTTGTGTCAATATGACGTTTTATTATAGGAAATACGCTCTCAACTTCCACTGGAAAAAAAGGACTTCACACTGAGAATTGACCTCAAACGCCAGCATGCATTTATACAGCATATCTACTTTTATGAAACTATTAAAAACAAGATATACTAATTCATTAAAATCTACAAAATCTTCAAAGAGAAAGATAAAGGTACATTGAAAACAAACTGGAGATCATGTGAATACTATACACAGGAAATAATGTATAGACTAGGATGTGATGATGTGATATGCTACAATTCTTCCAAAATCCCTTCTGAAAAACAAGTGACACTGCTGTAGTTTTCAGATCTCAAATAAAAGGAGAACGGAGGAGAGGGAACCCTTCTGATTGTGTGAAATATGCTATAAAGTTCGTCATTTAAGTCAATCTCAGATGGACACACAACAAATTTATAAGAAATTTCAAAAACTACTACTGATTTACTTAAACACGTCAGATAAGGCTGGCGCTACCAACCAAGAGGAAGAGAGGGGCTGGGGATTTAACTCAGTGGCACAGTGTCTGCCTGGCAAGCGCAAGGTCGTGAGTTCGATTCCCGGTACCGAAAAAAAAAAAGAGGAAGAGGGAACTGGTCATCCCATCCTGGTGGTAAAAATGCTCCTGTTATAGGTCAAGTGAATCTGCTTTTTGCATCACAGTCTTTTAAAGGTGAAATCCCGAAAAAAATGTGAACTAAGCTTATTTTAATACTGAAAAAAGAGTAACAGGATTTCTGCTCAGCAAAGAAATATTGGCCAAAGTTAACAAGCCGATGAAAAATTGCAGGTTTTTTTGATTTCTACACAAGACAAGAAAATACCTACAAATGCAAATATGGTATCTACAAACATGAGCACATGTTAGGAGTAAATAACGTAGAGAAGAGCTTACACAGTAAAATGAGAGGAGCGCATGGGAGCAGGCATAAACACAAGGACACTGGAAATACGCCAGCGCGCTCCGCGGTGCGTCAGGGAAAGTCATGGACCGCAAAGTCCGGCGGACCCTCAGAGGAGCTGGAGGCAGCGCCGGCCGGCGCGGGCGAGGCCGTGCGGATCGCGCGCGAACGCTCCCACTGTGCACCGCACCGCGCTCCTGCGGGCTCCGCGCGGCCTCGGCGCGCTCTAGGGCGGCGGAACCAGGAGGATCCGCACGGAAGTCCGGCCGCGCTGCTGCCCAGGGCGGGCAGGAAGGACAGAGCGGGAAGCCTCCGGGAACCCCAGGCCGACTCGGGGCTCACGGACCGGGAACCCCAGGCCACCGCGGCCGTTCCCCGCCTTCCCTCCTCCCTCTGACCTTATCCCCTCCCGCCCGGGGATCGGCGCGGCCGGCTGCACCCTTACCATCATCGGCTCCCAGAGCGCCTCCCCCGCCGCTCGAGGAGGCGACAGTCACGGAGCCAGGCGGGCTCCTCAGCTCAAAACTGACCCCTCGCTGCGGTTCAGACTTCCACGCCAGGACACAGACGTGGCCCTTTGCAAGGGCCCACCTGATTGGACAGTTCAAACAGCCCCGCTGATTGGCTCCTGTTTTATTACCCACCCTCTGAGCTGAGAGTGACAGCAAATTCAAATCCCTCCCTGTGTGTGCAGCCAAAGCAGAGTGTAGTGGCTTCAAGGGCAGTGTCTGCCAGCATGTCACTTCACCTAGCCTAAATAATGTCTGCAATTGACCAGAGTGTGCTGTGGGACTTTCAGAGGTGCCCCTGTGTCCCTGCTGGATGCTGTGGGCGCTCCGTATGTGTTGCTCCTGAAAATCGCATCACACGTGTGTGCAGAACATCTCCAGAGTCAATACCCTACGGAGGTAGTCCTTGATGTCAGAGAATGCCCTGAGTCCAGAACACGTCAGGACTATGGCACAGAGGGAGGCACTTCCAGCCTCAGTAAATGAATATATACCAAAAGAATTTCTACTGAATATATGAAGAAAGCATCCTTGAATAATAGCAATATTCTACAAAGGAGTCAGGATGAAATGAAATCAAACATTTGAACTGCGTCAGACAGGTAGCGTACTTCATTCAGGATTGCAAAGAAAGCCTCAATTGTAAAAATAAAAACATGTTTCCACACATGAGGGCAAGAATGATTGTTGAAATGAAGCTTGATACTCAGTCATCTCCTGGAGATGAGGTGGGGAGTCCTGAGCGCTTCAGAATGAATGTAAGGTCACAGGCCCTACAGTTGCCTCCTCGCAGATCTGTAACACTGTACTATTCACCAGAAGGAAATTGTTAGCTGGACTCATGTGATCCTCTTGATTGTCAGTTAGTTTGCCTTGAGGGAAGTGTAGGAGAATAGTAAACCACGCTTCTGGGAGTGTTTATTGTACTCATGAAAATATGACTTTTGTGAGCCATGTGTGGTCCATTTACTCTTGGCTCTTTTGCTACTTTTTGACTCTCACACTCTAATTAAATTTCGTTTACATTTCTTTCTCATTTTCTTTCACCAGGACTTTTCTGCTTTAGAGAAAATCAAACACACACTGCAGCAGTAAGTATAAGTAAACACACAGAATATTATGTTATGTGTGATAGTATGGGAATTCTGAAATAAGGACTTCTAAGCCCATTGGAAACACTGGAGGGAAATTTCTGCAATCTGCATGATAATCAGAAAATTAGTGTCTGGGCTATTGTTGGTAGCTTCTCATGAAAAATAGTCTCAAATCCAGAAAAACCATGAAATGCTTTAAAGCAGAACTTGTTAAAATTACGTTTGTTCAAAACAGGGGAGTAGGTTGAAATTTTAAGCCTCATTTATAGGACCTATGGAAAGGAGAAAAGAACTTAAGGCTTAGTTGACAATCAAAACCAAAAACCAATTTTTGTATGAATATATCAAGACTTTATTCATTTGTATTTCAGGCTATCTTCCTCCTTGCATGACATTTAGCTTTATCCTTGTCTGAACCTACAAGATGGTGGTAAATTCCACTTCCCCTCTATGTTGTGACAAAAAAAATTTTTTTAAAAACCAAAACCCAAAAAACCACCAGACCCATCCATACATTTGTTGAGAACCAGAATCCGTCCTGACTGAAAGCCACTAACTCAGCAGCTGCATTCAGCTCCTAGTGGGCTGATTGACCAGATGTCCACAGTGGGCTAAGAGTGCAGGCTACTTCTCAACTGGGAGAATTTCTCCAGTTCTCCACCTCCATGCTACAAACAGGGATGGGCCTTTCTTCCCAAATTACTTCAACTCTGTCCTAGCACCTCCACTCTCCTTGCCACACCCATATGGGAGGGAGCGTTATACAATGTGGCTAGCTCAAGAAGGCCACAGAAATGGGTGGCCTTCATGGCTGCCACGTGCTCTATCACTGCTGTGCCCTTTGCCACAAGCCCTTGCAATGGCCTTCCCCACAAAGGCAACGTGAAAACTTTTTGGGAATCCCAGGGCACTCACAGGAAATTCAGGGATTGCAGGCTCTTGTTCCGCCTGTAACAACGGCTCCCAGCCAACCCTGTCTGCCCAGAGAGTGCACTGCTTCCACACAGGGAGAGTGGTCTTCAGGCATGGTGGAGACTGGGTGGAATGACACATATTTCACCTCCTTGGCAGCAAGGCAGGAGCTGAGAGGGGACAGGAGTTGCAGTAACAAAGAATGTGAAGCCGGGTTTTCACCCTGAGGTGTGATAGCTAGAAGGTTTTCTAGAATCATGTTATTTCTAACCTGACACTGGAAGAATAGTTCCTTTGGGGCAATGCAGATGCTACTTATCTTGTGGCAAGTTGTTTCACCATGTGTCTGTGTCTGCACTGCTTTAGTCCTATCCCTTTTCTGGATGATGCAATCCAAATAGTCTACAAGAGTGGGTTCTCCGTGTGTTTATTTTAATGAACAATAAACACAGTAGTGCCCGCTTTTCTGGAAAGTATATGTATTGCCCATTGTTTATGTGAATGAATGATACATATAAACATCATAGAAAAGTAGATACAAACATATCAACCTAATGTGTGCCTATTTCAGCCAACTGTTATTTCTGCTTTTGAATAAAGTTAGCTGCATAGTCCTTTTGGTGGCTATAATGTAGGTCTTGCTGGTGACAGTTCTAGGTTGGGAGGAAGTGCACTGGGATGGAGGGAAAAGGCCCTCAATTAGGAAAGTGAAGGAATGTAGAGGCCAGCTCACTGGCAAGCCTGTCACTATGGATGTTGAGGCCTTCCACACACTCTTCACCTCTGTAAGTTTCTTACCCTGGGATCCTCCTACTTTGGTCTTTTCCAGGGCTTGTGCAGAGTCTGCTTTCTAATTACAGCACTAAGCTTCAGGTACTGCACAGGTAGGGGTGAATTCAAACCTGAGGTAATTGCTCAGACAATTAATGAGTTAATGACAGGTAATTGATATAATTTGCAAATAAAGTATATTTTAAGAAAAAAATAAAAAGGTAAAAAGAAATCAGACTTCCAGATTTTACAGTAAAATGGAAAAGAAATGGATGCAGCATGGGTGATAATATGAGACTCACAGACACCCAATAAGCAGGGGTCAAATTCATCATGACTATTAGGGAAAAGAGGAGCCTAGCAAGTCAGTGCAAAAAAAAAACCAGGTATGGCTCATGATCAATGACCAGACATCTCGCTTATCACACAATTTTTGTGTTCACCTACAGAACTGTGGTTGTCATGTTGACACTGGTCATGATGTGGCTTAGGAAATAAAAAAACATAGAAAGTCTTGTTGCTCACAGAAATGAGGGCTAAGGGTGAATAAAGGACCCTAAATATGTTATCAATTGTCTTGTTACATAAACCTACTTGGGAGTTGTTTGAATTTAGCATCAGAGTTTTGGTAAAATACTCCCACAAGCAGAGTAATAGGTAGACTAAGAATATATCACTTAAAAGGAGTGAATTTACAAGTTTAGGGATAGAAATGGAAGGCATGTTGAGGGTAAAACACTGTCACTGAACATCAAAAAAATGAAGTCACAGGCTTCCACTTTCTGGTTCATTTTTAAGTGCATAGAAGGTAAAGTCATTTGTGCATGCAAAAAAGCAAAGACATTTAGAATTCTCAAGTCATCTAGACACAGAATACTAAGGTCATGAGACAATGAATGATATCCAAAGCACAGAAACTGGATGGAAGACCTAAGAAGCATAATTTAATTTGACAGAAATCTGTGAGCAAGCCAATGATAGGAAAACCTTAAGGTTCTTTCATGACAGCTGAACAATTAAAAAAGTTTATGTCATGAAGCTTCAAGGGAATGAGTATTAGACCCACAAATTTGTGAGTTTTAACTCCATAAACACTGCTATCTCCTCACAGTTGCAATCAAAGAAAAATTGATGTATACTTCTGAAAATGAGGTGGGGAAAATGGAGGCATTCTGAAAACTATGGTGGACCACTAAGTTTTGTATGGAAAAGAAGAAAAGTATTTCCTCAAAGACAAAACCATTGAGAGATTTTTACATTCAAACTCAGGAAGCACTGAAGTAGCCAGTTTCAACTTCTCTAGTTGTCTAGATTCAACACTGGAAAACAGGCTGTTGTAGTTTCCATCATCCTCTTGTTAGACTAATCAAATATTTACTGACCAACACCATCTTCAAATCTTCAAGGAATAGAGACAAAGAAAGAAATATGGATCAACAATGAAAAACATCTTAGTGAAACCACATGAGAAATCTTCATGAATTCCCCACAACGAAGACTTTCTGGCAACTGTTGGAATTATGCACAAAGTGGTAGAGGCAACCAGAGAAAGATGATTAAAATATAATAGGAAAGGGATGTATGTATAAAATAAATGTGTAAAGAATTAGACATTATCAAAAACCATGTGAAATTATGCAGGTGCAATAAAAAAACAGCTTCAGTGAGCACATCTCTATAGGTGTTCAGTGCTATTTGTGAGCAGAATATAGACTCAGCTAACATGAAAATAAAATGTTTGAAATTATGCAGTCCGACAAGGGGAAAATCAGTACATTCAATAAAAATATCTCTATTGTACCTATAGTGCAAAAATTGTTGAACAGTAGTTTATACAGAGGAGTAAAAGATTTAAGTAAAGGACGCTCTACAGATAATGTACGTTAGAAGAGCACAGGGATAACAACAGCAGAGTGGTGAGTGGCAGAACTCAGCCTCTGTAGATTTGGAATTGAGATCCTGAAAAATAATAACTTAGAGAAGAAGCAAAAACAAGAGAATTAGCAAAGTTTTAGTTTGCAATCTGCTGGACTTCTTAAAGTACTTGACATAGTCAATCACTTCCTCAGGTTTCAAATATTTTCTTCCGTAACTTTCAGGACATTACAATCAGCAGTAACAACAGCATCAAGCACAAACTTGTAAATGACAACCTATAATAAGTAACACTTTGCCAACTTTCACTGTTGTACAATATTTATGGTTATAGGACAAACTCTAAGAAAAATCAGGTAATTATATACAAGAAACATCTACACAGTAAAGCCATTTTATTTCCTTTAAACATAGACCAGTATTCAGTGATATTAAGATATAGTTTACTACCTAAGATATCATAAAGCAAATGAAGAAGGTAGAAACATGAAGAAAAAAATGTTAGACTATGAAAAAAATAAGAGATGGAAGATGTGAGGAAGGTGGTAAGAGTGATGTAAAACCTGCTAAGAAGAAAAGTGAAATTAGTACCATTAGATAACATTCACAGAAAAAAACAGCTAGGATAAGGATAAACAATAGGGAGTGGAGAGTAAAACAGAAGAGAAAATAAGAACAAATATGAAGAGAAGAAGTTGAAAAGAGAAAGTAAGAAAAGGAGAAAGGAGGAACTATTCAAATAAATAATAGTAATATTACAAGGAGGGATAAGAAAATGCATGGTGAAATGGCAAACTTTGCCAAAATAAAAATTTGTGTCAATAAAGGAACATAGAAAAAAAAT